TGCGAGGAAAATGCGAAGTGAACCGAGTCGGCGGTAGAACCGGGGGGATGATGATAATACTTGTAAGCTTATAAAGGGGCACGCGCGCTCGTGTGGCGGTCGACTCGCTGGGCGAAGGGCTGTTTTTATTGTGGCTAAAAATCGATGGCGCTCCGCTCGCGGCAGATAAGAGAAAAGCGAAAGATAAACGCAACGGGAGGGTGCGGTAAAAGTAAGACAATAAAGTCAGCAAACGGCAGTAGATAAAAGAACAAAAGTTTGACTCGAAAACTCCGCATAAACGCGGCGGTTGTTATATCTCTAGTCTGTCGCATTATTGTCGTCGCGGTCGATAAAACAGCGTTGAATGCGAATGCTGATACTTGTCGTTTATATTATGCGTGAGCTAATATAAGAGAGTTTGGGGGGATAAAGTATCGCATTAATAAACAGCGAAACAAATATCGCATACGTAAAAGGAGCGAAAGAACGTGGAGGGAAACACTGACGCTATATTAACACAAGTTACGATAACGAATGAATACACGACGCAGAAAATATATATGTTGCGCGAGAGGAAACACGATCGCTAACGTGTCGAATATAAGAAGACCTACAGACACCTTTATAACAAGGTAAGAAAGAAAATAGTGTTGTTAACGTGAAACACGAGATGGTAGTATTGTTAAAGTGTTAAAATGACGACAGATAAGACGTATAAAAGATATATGAGAGGGTCTTCTCCGTCTGAAAAAGGAGCTCTAAGGTAAAAGGAGTTGAGATAAAATGATGCAGGGTGGTGGATGGAAGAAAAAAGAAGAAGCCACGTGAAAACTGAGGCGTAGGAAAAGGTGGATAGAAACGCGATGAGAGAGACTTCGAGTTTTTAAAGGAGGTAGTGTTGTTTTATAGAAATGCGCTCCAAACAGCGAAAACGGTGTATCAAAAGATCACTAACAAGAGAGACCGGAATTAGATGTCCTATATTTTAGAGTTTTGAAGTTACAACTTCTCAGGCAACTAATTATTGTAACTAATTGTCTAAACACGATAGAAGCAACCTTCTTCTATGTGTTTTTCTATATGCCCGCCACGACACAGTTAATCGTATATTTTTGTAATAATAATAATAATAACTTTATAATAATAAAATAACTTTTGCAATAATAATACATTTGCTTTGTAATAACTAAAATACGAATATACAGTAACGTGGCCATCTTGTCCTGGTTCAGTTGCCCAATAGCGCAGGGTAAAGAAGGTCACGTATAAAATATATATCCTGATTAGTAGTTTCAGAGTCTCTGCGAAAAGTCTCCACAACCCTCCCGTGTGCCTTTAACTATGGGCTGACTTTACTTCGTATATCCTATTTCAATCATTTTAAGAATGAAAATTGCATTTATTACTAGAAACAATATATCATATATTTACAAGAAATTTTATTCTAGCTAGTAAAATATCGCTTAATTTTATTCAGGCACGATAGGGAATATTCATATAAAATTTCGTGAGACTCGAAAATTTATTTTGCTATTATCAAATCAGTCTTTTTCTATTTCTATAATATTATTCTGATTTTAATTAAACTCAGGGAAAAGTATTTATGTTCTAAGGATTATTTCGCGATTTTGTATTCCATTATTCCAATATAAATATTAAAAAAAAAAACATATAAGTAACACACTCCTGAAGTTATATAACCCTAGTTTCCCCTATATTACAAAAGTTTATCTCCGCCGGTTCTTCGATCGGCTTCCATTATTCGTATCTTCCTTGCCCTTTCATAGCGAGAAACGACCAAAGTCATTAGGCGCGATCTCAGGCGACGCTACGCTGAAATGTAAGCGATTTCGGTCGATCGTGATGAGAAGTGACTGAGATACTTATGAGGTACAAGGGCAACGCGAGTACTCTCTTTTTCCTCTTTGTCTGAAGGTCTCTCTCTCACAACCGCGGGACATGATTTCGTTTTCGCGAGCGCCCCGAGATTATGAAATTATAACAACCGATTCCCCGGTACAGAGTTACAAAGTTACTTCGCTCTCTCGTGCATTACGCAACATCCGTCCAAGACAATAAACTCCGAGTCTGTAGCGCGAGTTGTGCGCGAATAAAGACGTGGGGGTGACTATGGGGGAGGATGCGA